AAGGCTTAGGCAACATAGCCAGGGCGTTAGCAGCAATAACAGACGGTGTGCAGAACGGTCTTCCATGAATTTTGTCATTACGGGCCCGCCAGGTTTGATAAATCAAATAGCAATATAGGCGGCCAAGGCTCGGATTGTCGGAGGCTAGACGGTGAAGACCGCCCACAAGATCATTCCAAGATTGAAAATCTGGCAACGTGAAGCCCCACTTGGCGATGATAGCAAAAACAGTTTTCAGCATACCGCACTGGATGGTGACATGCTCACGGGATTCATCCACATTACAGCCCCATGGGCACTCCCTATCATCGGCAAGATTACGCCGATGCAGCCAGCAGCGTGTTGGAATGGCGTCAAGAGTAACACGCCACCAAAAGAAGTGTTCGCGAGGGTGAAGTTTGAACTTACGAAGCCAATAGAATTGATAAACCACCGGCTGGAAACAGGATTTATAAGCCATAGCAGTAATCGTGGAGCTGAGAGGCGAGTGAATGAGAGCTGGGCGGTCCGTGCCGCCCCCCTCATTAAGTTGAATGCTGGAAATGTATTGTGCCAAAGAATCACCAAACACCTCACAGAGGCGGTCCCGTCTCCAACCGGAGTTTTCGTCTAGCAGCCACTGTACCGTTTGTCCCTCAAGTGCCGCAACGTCCACAAATGAAGGCCAATGCGCCAAATCACGGTTTTTAATCCAAGTGTCGTTAAGCACATCAATACGGCTGCCATCGCCAATCTCCCAACGTAAAATGGGGCGGAGAGCCGCAGCACCATCACATAGAATTCTCCAAGTACTAGAGATATTACGCCCAGCAAGATGCTCCCAGAGATTGTCGCCATATTTAGCAGTAACCATGCGGCTCAAGAGCGATTCTTTGTCCTGCAGAATTCCCCAAGCCAGCCGTGCCCGGAGAGGGCCTTGCCAATTCAGAGAAGCATGAAAGCCCAGGCCACCCATCGCAGTCGGGCGACATAAGTTGGTCCAGCTAATATAATGGAGCCCTTTTTTATCCGAACTCTTCTGCCAGAGGAACCGTCTAGCAACCCTCTCAATAGTCTGCAGGATTCCCTTCGGAACCAGCGAGTGGGTCATAAGATACATAGCCGTCGACAGCAACGATGTGCGGATCAAGGTGGTTCGGCCGGCCATAGAAAGATGCCGTTTGCCCCATGTGTTGGTCTTTTTAGTAACCGTTTGGAGTACTTTGGAGAAGTCGGACACAATGAGCTTCCTCATTGCCAGCAACAGGCCAAGATACTCAAGAGTTTGGACTCGCCGGAAGCCCAAATCATTTGCAATTCTGCGTTGCTTCCACATAGGTGTTTTTTTGCTAAAGAGAATAGCCGACTTTGCATTATTGATGCATTGGCCCGTCCAGCTACAGTAAGCTGCAAGAATTTCCTTGATCTTCTTAGCATTCGTGCCGCTAGCCTCCGCAAAGATCAGGATGTCATCGGCGTAGAGAAGGTGGGAAATGCAAGGAGCATTGCGGCTGACCCGCAAGCCGAGCGTCTCGCCGCGTTGATTGAATGCTTTTGTGAGAAGTTCCGAGCATAAAATGAATAAATAGGGCGACAGGGGACAGCCTTGTCGGAAGCCGCACCGCCATCAAATCCTTCCGTTCCTGCAGCCATGATAAGCAATTGAATTAGGGAAAGAATGCATTGATTACCGTTTGTGAGCCGCGGCGGGAAGCCATATGATCCATAATTGTCTGAATTTCCCACGACATACAGTCGTGGCTTGCTCCATGTCAATGTTTTCCGAGCCATACAACCCCACTTTCTTGGTAGTATGTTGGAACGTGCACATAATCTTTGTACAATGAGCCCATGATTGGGATGGATCGGCCAGGAATGAAGCACCTTGCTCCTCTCCAATGAGATTCGCAAGAAACGGTTCATTCTCCCGACCCAGAATTTTGGCCGTGACTTTTTTTAGAGGGCCTGAAAAGGTGATCGGCCGGAACTTGGAAGGCAAGCAGGCGTTCTCACCCTTGGGAAGTAAGATAACAGAGTTTCTTCCAGATTGCTCATCGTGCCGTAAGGAAAAAATTATGGCACCGCAGCAAAAAATCAGTTTTTGATTATTTCCCAGTAGAAATTTAAGAAA